TGCTGTGAATATGTACATTTGTTTTGGGGAAGGAAAGCTGCACAATTAACATTAGGCTTAGAAGAAAAGATTCCTTTTTTGTTTTGTTTACAAACAATAACAAATTTGGATTTGGTGATGGATAATTTTAAGTTAAAAAATATGACTGCTAAAAAGCAGTGTAATAATACGTCTGTAGAGCACTTTGAAGATGAAAAGCTCTATATACTGTAAACATTATTACTAGTACAGCTTAATCTGTGCTGAATAATTAATTTAGCATAAGCAAAATGTAGATTTTTTTAAATGTACAGTGTAATGTTTCAGAAAGTCTAATGCACCTATGTATTTACTTTCATATCGTAACATAAGAAATTCATCCTCTTATTTTTTTAAATATCTGCGTGTTGCAGTGATTTACTTTCCAAACGTAGAGACAGTCTAATCTAGACCAGTCAGTCAGAAATATGAAATGTCTAGGCTGGGAGGAAAAATAAGGTTGTTTTTTTAAAGACAGTATAAAAATACTGTGCAGTGACAAATAGTTACCTGTCAGATACAGAAATGTTTGGGGGGCAGTTGTCCTCCTTAGGCTTGTACTGTAGCTTTGGAGAAGACTTGACTGAATTTAGTTAGAGCTGTGCAGGTGCCAGATTGTGGTGGGAAGTGAACACCTGCCAGGCTGCTCCAGATAACTCAGCAGCTCAAAGGCATTTTCCCAGGCTCCCACATGAACGGTCAGTAATAACTGTGGGAGAGGGCTTCCCACTGCTCCACACTGTACCACAGCGTCTTCTTGGCAGCCTTCTGGAAGTGCAAGTCAGCTTGGCTGGCTTCCTTTGGAAAACAAGTGTTGCTGGATAGTTTTACAGTAAAGAGGCAGTGTCCGAGACTTCCTCTCGGTGTCGTGGGACTATGAAATATAACAAGCAGGGCAAATTACCATTCCCTTAAAAGGCAGCACTCACTGGTGTGTCTTTCAGCTGAAACTGAACTGTAGCTTTTCTACAACCACTTTTTTTCAGTCTCATTCTGGGCTTTTTTTGTTGGGTTTGTTGGTTTTGGGGTTGTTTGTTGTGGGTTGGTTTTTTTGTTTGGTTTTCTTTCTTGTTTGTTCTTGGAACCTGGATTTTTAGTATCTTATTTTAATATCTTCATCAATGATATAGACAGTGGGATTGAGTGCACCCTCAGCAGGTTTGCAGATGACACCAAGCTGAGTGGTGTGGTTGACATGCCAGAGGGATGGGATGTCATCCAGAGGGACCTGGACAAGCTGGAGAGGTGGGCCCAGGTGAGCTTCATGAGGTTCAACAAGGCCAAGTACAAAGTCTTGCACCTGAGTAGGGGCAATCCTCATTATCAGTACAGGCTGGGGGATGATGTGATAGAGAGCAGCCCTGCAGAAAAGGACTTTGGGGATACTGGTAGGTGAAAGCTGGATGTGAACCAACAATGTGCACTCACAGCCCAGAAGGCCGATTGCATCAAGGGAGGTGATTCTACCCCTCTGCTCTGCTCTGGTGAGACCCCACCTGGAGTACTGTGTACTCTGGAGCCCTCAGTACAAGAAGGACATGGAGCTGTTGGAGCTGGTCCAGAGGAGGGCCAGAAAAATGATCAGAGGGCTGGAGCACCTCTCCTGTGAAGACAGGTTGAGAGAGTTGGGGTTGTTCAGGCTGGAGAAGAGAAGGTTCTGGGGAGACCTTATAGTGGCATTCCAGTACGTGAAGGGAGCTTAAAAGAAAGCTGGGGAGGGACTGTTTACAAGGGCATGTAGCAATACAATGAGGAGTAATGGTTTTAACTAAAGCAGGATAGATTTAGATTAGGCATGAGGGAGAAGTTCTTCACTATGAGGGCGGTTAAATACTGGAACAGGTTACTCAGTGAGGTGGTGGAGGCCTCATCCCTGGAGACATTCAAGGTCAGGCTTGATGGGGCTCTGAGCAACCTGATCTAGTTAAAGATGTCCCTGCTTACTGCAGATGGGGTGGACTAGATGACCTTTAAAGGTCCCCTCCAACCCAACAAATCCTATGATTCTGTGATTTTAATATTTAAGTGCACAGTTTTGAAGTAAGGAAAACAAAACTCCAAATCACTAACAAAAATTTTATTTCTGCTTCTGCATTGGTAATCTGCAAATGAAGTTATGTCTATGTTGCATGATGAACAGGAAATTGAAGATTGGGCTAAGTGGGTTTGCTGAGCCAAGAATCAGTGAAGTTTCTCTATTACTGGCTGAAAAACAGTGTTTGTAGCTCAAGTTTAAAACTTCTGTGGTGTGCTTAAAAGGAGGTAGTGCTGGATCATTTGGTCTGTATCACTCGATCCATCCTTCCAGATACCACGATCAGCAGCTTTTGGTCCTTGCTGAGCATTCTCTGGCCATCTTCCGTGGAGCATAATCCATAATTTACCCAAAGCCAACAGTAGTATGTGGACTATATAAACAGTGTTGATGTTTATCAACAACAGAGAAGTCTGGAATTGAGAACAGACTGAGACTCATGCTGAGTAACTGTGTAAAAAGTTCAAAAAGCTGCAAAGGGCCTGAGGTTGTCAAATAAGAAGGTTTTCTTGTGGGGCTTATATTTAGTTTCTTATTTTATGAAGCAGAATGGTTAATTGGATACTATATTTCTCTTGAAGGAAGCAGAAATAATTTCTGTTTTTACAGTTCTGCAGTAAATCTGGCAACTTTAAAATCTGGGAAGTTTTGCAAATTCCAGTTGGCTATGGATTAGATCAGATGTCACACATACGAGGGTTTCAAAACATTAGATGAGCATAGCCATGTGATACTTTGAAAATATAGGTATCTTGAATGTAATGCATCTTAAAATTTTCTCACAGTTAGCAATAAGCAACAGCAAATCATCAGTTCAGGCTTCTTCAGCAAAGTCAAGCAGTAAATAGTCATGGAAACTAAAATTATTTTCCTAGTGTTAGTCCCTCTGGGCTGAGCTTATTAGCTCCGGTGCAACTCCCTGTGAAGGCCGTATAAGACTTGCGCCAACACTGCCAAAATATATAATTATTTATTAATAATACATTTAACTTGTTTATTACTCTTAATTATTTATTTTGTTAGATTTGAGTTAGGTGTTGTCTTCCATAGAATAGTAACTAGCTGAATCAAGGGCCTTTAAGAGGAATTTGAAACTTTGTTCAGGCCATTAGTCAATCAAATATGATTTAACACTTAACCTCCCAGAGAATACCAAGATAGCAAGAAAAATAAACAGATGTACATGTCACTGATTCATAAAAGAATTTCAGCAATGAAATACTGTGCTTTTCTCTGTGAAAAGCAAAATATTCATACTTTTTCATTTTAAGATCGTCTCAAGAAAAATACATGTGAAATATTCGACACACATGGAAGTGGAAAGAGCCTTTTAATATTTACCCTCTGTTTAAAGATTTGTTTGCAAAGTTGTACTTTTATGAATGTTACTTCTCCAGTGTTACGGAGCTCACAGTAGAAGATGCTATTATCACAGTAATAACTTACATACAGGGAAAATTCCTTGGTTTGGCTGATTGTACTAATGATGCGAAAGAATTGTGTATGCCAAACTGGAAATAGCTAAAAGTAATTTTCTTTAATTGGGCTCGTAAATATACAGTTAATAAAGATGGTGGATTACATCCAAATTTTTCTGTAGTGCTCATCATTTTTAAGTGCTGGTTCAACTTGTTGCATCTTGACTTGATCTCTAAAGGGAAGTCAAATTTTAGGTGTCTTCCTGAGGGGAAGGAAAAAGATGGCTGATAAATTTCAAAGGGATTGATTGTGATCAATAACTATAGTTCTTAATGAGAGGTGATGCTGAACAGCACTTGACAGTGAACTCCAGGATATCTTGCACAAGTAGAAGAGTTGTAGACTGTGTGGAACAGGACATGCATTTGGGGGCTTACACTTAGAAAGAAGGCATGCCTTGGTATTTACTTAGTGGAGATTAAGACTGGAACAGCCAAGCTTTCCTGACTTCTTTTTAAATTTTTAGATTAGAAGAACAGCAGTAGTGCTTGATTTTCTACCTCTTCTGTGGTAATTGCACCTAGGGTATCTGTCTTGGAAGCTGCAATAATTTAAGTCTTGCAAAACCCATCAGAGTTAGGGGAAATACCTCTCTGGTATGTTCATTTTAGTGAGGTGTACAGAGAGACTATGGAGGGAGGAGTCACAGATGCTAACTTTCAGTTTCAGGGGGAGATAGGTTGCAAAATACCTTTATAAATCAAGTTCTAACTGATTTGCTGAGGGTCATTTGGGAATTTAAGGAGTGCAAAAGTAAAAGCCAGTTTCCTTAGCCATAGTCTAATAGTCTCTTTGATGTAATATAATCCTTGCTGTACTTCTCTTATGCTCCTGGTGCACAAGGATTTCTGTCTTTTCAGGAACAGAAACTGAAGAAGCCTCTGCGTATGTTACAGGTATCTGCTGGAGCAGCGAGGCTAGCTCTGTCTGCTTGTAGATATTGAAGAGTTCAAATGTATGCATTTCTCACTTAACTCAGTGAGATTGCAGGTAATTAAGACCTTTCATGTTTGTGCTTTTATGTAGCCAGCATTTTTTTCAGTTTTGAGTATGTCAGCTTTCTCTAGAAGGGAATTAAGTAGCTGGTCAACTGTAGTGTTCTTGTAGAAATATGTATGTAAACATTGTAGTGATGAGGACTCTAGCCTATTGGACTAGTGACCGTGACACTAAGCTACTAAGCGGGATGACATCTCTGATCAGTTAATTGATTTAAATTTATTTCTCTGATTGGATACCCAAACTTGATGGTTAGTATATTGTTTACATTTTCCCTCAACTTCTTGAGACTTCAGTATGAGCATTTTATTTTTAAAAATACTCCTTTGAATTTAACATTTTCTCATGTATTCTTAAACTGCTGCTTCTGCTTTCTTTCAATCTCATTTTCACAGATGTGCAACGCGTTGAGACCGGAATGCTCAACATACCCTTACACTTACTATTATCATTTTGTTTTATGTTGCAGCCAACAGTTTGCACATTACTGCCTACTTTATGAAGAGATGGGTTAATCTCCGTTGTGCTGTAGGGAAACATTATCGTGGTAAGAAATCAGTTTCTTATAGTGTAACTTAGAATTTTGCATTTCCGTGGGAAAAAAAAAAGGAAATATAAAATAATTGTTTGTCAGATCTTGGTCTACTTAATAAAAAATTCTTTCAGAGCTTGAGTTTTGTCTTTTTTTCCAGAAGATGTTTGCTAAAAAAAAAAGTGTTTCTTAAAAAATGATGGATTTTTTTAAAAACTTGATTTTAAATTTGTGTATGCCTTGCCTCAGGATAGTCAGCTAAGCCACACCAAATTCTATAAGTATGATGAGACTCAGCATTTTACTGAGTCTCTGCAGGGTGAATCAACGAGAGGTTGCAGTATGAATCACTTCATTATTGTTCGAGCGTTTTGTGACATCAACTGTACAGTACAAGTGTATGCAAGAAAACGCTTTCATTCACCTCAGTGCTATAAAATCTTTACATAGGTGATCTCATTGGACCAGATCTTTTTTTCATGTTTTCTCAAGTCAAGATGCTCTGTAAGGAAGTGATTTCAGTGCTGTGCCGCCAACAGCAATAAGAAGGAGCTGTAGTGGTCACTACCCTTTGTGTTGAGCTTTAGACATTTAGCCTAATAGAAGAATCTTGTATACTTTAAACAGTGCTGCTCACTCAGTATCTAAAGTAAACTTACCTAAGATGCTGTTATTGGAACCACACATAACAAATTCCATCCTTGCAACAGTTGTCCAGCTTTTCTTTTGTAGCCCATTCGGAAGATGTCCACAGACTGCTTGTGGTTGAAAAGCCGTTGTATTAGACCTCTGGGAGTGGCTTTTCAGATCTAGAAGATACAAGTAGAGAAAGAATAGTCTTGGACATAAGGAAGTATTCATGCTGTGCCTTGGACACAGTTTTGCTAACAGAGATGATATTTCTGAAAGGATTATGAAAGACTCATATTCAGTATGAAGTTAGAGTAGCTTAACAAGCTATCTTGCCAGTACAGATGCATCTGAAGTCTCTGTGTATGCTTTTTCAACCGATGGCAAATGCAATCTGTTTCATCATCCCCACCTTTCATTGTAATGACTCTAGCAAAGTCACTGCTGGTACACAGAAGGACTTGTCAGATACTAGTGGAGATATACTGTTGGTGCCTTTAGACAGGCAGTCACCCATATGGATGACCTGATCATCACTGGCAAATTGTGCACATTGTGCCTCTACTCAATTCATTGTGAGGAGATATTCTACAAAAAAAATCTGAGGTCAAGCTCATGTTTTCTCTGCATGCCTTGTGTCTCTCTCTCTCTCTCTCTCTTGTCCTAGAAAATAGTGTTACGGCTTTTTTTTTTTAACGTATAACAAACTTAAAAAACTCTCTTTATATAAACAGAGAATAACACTCTTTTTATAAAACCAAACCAAACCAAAAACCAACAAAAAAAATCAGAGCTGAAAATACAAATACAGCGAATATATATGAATATAGCTGGGAACAATCTGATTTATAAACTAACAAAATATCCAGCTATGCTTTTTTTCTTAGCATTGGTAGGTACTGACTAAACCTTTGTTTGGTCTTTTCTAATGTGAGAACCCTCCAGTTTTTAATCCTTTCTAAAGAGAAACTTTGTTGTGTTCATAACAAACCATGTGATCTTGAGTAAAATATGTAATTTGGTAGTAGTTAACCAATTTGCTTAATGACTTCAAAATCACTGTAGTCAGAGTTTGAAACACTTAGCCTTGTGCTGAGTTTTTATGCTGAGTCCTGATTGAATATGTTGTGCTGTATTACAAACATTATTTACATCTTTTGTGATGAAAGTACTCATCACTAGAGTAACACAAAAGAAATCATCGTTAAGTGGTTTGTCTCTTGGTTCTGTCTAATGTATTTGTCCAGGAGTGCAGGTGGACTAATTTGCAGCCATGACTGTCCTCTTGGGAACTAAACTTAATCTGACTTTATTGATTTTTTTGAATGGTTTAAAAACAAAACAAAACAAAAGGAAGGGTGGGATGTTGAAGAGAGTAGGTAAGAATCTAGTAGAATGTAAGAAGGAGTTTAGTGTGCAATTTGAAAAATAAAATTACTTTGTTTACTAAAATAGCATGTATATAAGTTGTTAATATGTGTTTTTGAATATGCATATGATTTTTGCAATCTTCTTTTCAATTGTTTTTTTATAGACCTACGTGTGTTTCCAGACAGATTTATAGTTTGTGTCAGTAAACTTGAATCTAATCCAAGTGCTTGGACATCTGAAAATGGTGTATTGGTATGTACAAAACTGCTCTGCAAATTTTTTTGTTTGATAGTGGTAAGATGAATGTTTGTATATAGATGTAGTTATTCACATATATGTGATTGCCATCTTGGAAACAGAAAACAGTTGAGCAAAAGTATTCAGAAGGAGATACTGAAGTGACTCTGAAACAGACAAAAATGGTAGTTTTTGGAAGCTCAGCATTTTCTGAGCAATATAAGACTCAGAGACCAAGACCACATATTTAGAAAGCTAGGTATGATTTTAGCACCTTGATTTAAAGATCATTTTTTAAATTTATATTTTCTTCTTTTAGAATTTTGCTTTCCAAAATTATACTGTGGCAATCCATGGGTTTCTTATAAGTTTTCTTAGTGCTTGTTCTGCAAAAGAACTCAAATGAATCTGTGCTAGCCCTGCTTGGAAAAAAACAAACCCAAACATTTATGGAGAAAACGGCACTGGTGTGTAGTTAAATACCGTAAACAATTCTACTGAAATATTTCATCCTGAAGGCTTTATTGGGGTCAAAGGCTTATGAATTTTATGCTGCAGTTAACTGCTGATTGTCTCAGGAGTGCTCACATTGACCCAGGTGGCCTGCTGTAGGGCAGGCAGTCTCTTCTGTGCTCACAGTGAGAATCAGAATTACATGCTGAGGTCTAGGTATATTTTGGTAGTTTATCTTAGATGTATTAAAGTATCCTTAAAAAAAAGTTTTCCTTCTACTCATTCAACTTAGTATTTTTCTAATATCAAGCAGGATGTTTTTATTTATTATAGTAAATCAGATTTTATTATCTTATTTCTTAGGTTGGTTAGTATCCTTAAATGTCAGAGGATCAAGCAAATGTTTTTCTCTCTCTCTTAGAAAAAGATCTGACTGCTTTAGAAGTACTTTGCTATTTTTAAAATTATTAGTTCCTTTGTATAGTCTTGAAAACTACTTAGATGCTTTAAGTAGAAAATCTCGTCTCTGCATTTTGACTGAGAATTCCCCCTCTCCCCTTGTTTAATTATCTCTCTTGAGATATCCAGTTTCCCTCTTTGGTATTTTTATTTTTTTCATAAAATAAAAGATCGGTTTTCTTTAGTTTCATTCACATGATTCTTGTCTAGTAAGGAGAATGCAAATGAAAAACACAATGATAACAGACTTCACCTTGACTATTTCAAAATTTCATCTGATCTACGGAAACTCCTACTTGTTTAAAAAGTAACTTTAAACTTTTTTATGTTAAAAACCAAAATAAAACAGATCTCTTAGTGGGATTACACCCTAAACAGTAATAAAGTTAATAAGAGTATAATAGTAAGAGTTTGCTTTACTTAGAGATGCAATAGGTGTGCATAGAACTGTCTGGAACGGTCAATGTGGTATGTTGGAAGGAGAGAATAAGTTATCCCTAAACCATCTTTCTGAATTGAAGAATTAACAAGTTGTGCACAGACCCTCAGCAAATGTTTTGGAGTATCTTTTTAGTTTTTGCCACTCTAACTTAAAGGGTGCACTCCAGACTGTTTTGTTGATCTTTTACAGCACGTTAGTACTGAATTTGTCATTTACTCCAGTTCAGTACTTTGCCAAACTGGAGGAATGTTTGATTGCTACTGAGAGGTAATTTCAAGTTTTTGGCGCTCCAGAAGTAAAGACTAAGGATGTGCACTTTGTGTGTGTACTTTTCTCTACACAATTTAGCAGTGAGTATGCTTGATCTCTAAACCAGACTGTAAAAGACCACCCAGAAGACCTTTCCGTTGATATACTCCAGTGTATTCTGTCATGGGCAAAAAATGAGGCATATGTTTTGTTTTCTTCTGTATGTCATTCGTGTTTGAATAATTTCATAAAGTTACATGCAAGTTCTTTTAAATGGTTCATCAGCTCACACCCTTGGTTTTGAGGGCCTATCTGTGTTTTATAGAAGTAGTTGACTATACATTAATGGAGACGTTGTCAGTCGTCAGTGTTGCTTAATGTCTTTGTGATTGCCTTAGTCAAAACTTCAATTTTATTTAATACATATAAAACTGCTTTTTATGCTGTTTTATGTTTAAGTCAAGCTTTCATTCCTGAGCTCCGTCAAGACAAGTTCAGCTCAATGCCCTCCTTTCCAATTACTTGGAACCAGTTTTATGTCAGTCTGATACAGACACTTTTCTTTCACACGTTGCAACTCTCTTTTTTTAATTTTTCCATCTATTTCAGCACTTTATTCTTTGTCTTTTCACTGCCTTTTAGGCTATTCTTTGTATCTCTGAAATAGACTGTGCTTAAAGCAAGAGTTTCAAGGGATGTAGTTAGATATGAAATCAAATTCTTACATCCTGCATCTTAGAAGAGATCGTAATTATATTGCTTTTGAGATATTCACAAGCAAAAACTTAGCATCAGTTGCTGAGAGAAGCAATGTGAAGCCTTCTGTGACACATCTTGTAAGATCAGGGAGAAGGTGGATTAGGCTGTCTCTGTCAAATTAGCTTTAAGCATAAACTAACAGAAGATTTGAGAGCACTTCTAAAGAGCAAAGCAGAAATATAATAGAAGAAAATTTATTGATATGTAATTTTCTGTTTTCTGGAATCTATTTAGAAATGGCTTTTTGTGTGGTATATCTGAAACACAGACTGCAGGCAGTAATAATCATTTGGGAAGAAGGGAAATCTCTATTAAAGAAACAATACAGCAAGTTATTGAAAATACAGAAGCAAATTGGAAGTCTCAAGGAAAAGATGAAAGAATAGCCTGGCTGATTAATGCTAAGTCTAAACATAAAACCATTGTTTCCAGTTTTGCCAAACTGTGTTTGCAATCTTGAATAGTTTTATCTTGAAAAAGACGACGGTTTTGGGAACATGGCAAAAGAGGAAACCCAGGGAAATATATAAGAACTCTGGAGAGATTAGACATCTTTGTCAATGACGACATTTTCTTGTTTATTATTATGTAAAGAGCTAAAGTGGAAAATTGGAAATGGGTTATCTGAACAAACAATGGAAATGGGTGGAAAGCTTATTGGAGGCTTTGAGCATTTGAAAATGTGCTAACAATGGAGTATTCATTGATAATCACATCAGCTTTATGTTAGAAAGAAAACAGTTGTAGGGAA